TATCAACACCCCTCGGTACTTGAAGGAACTTATCCCAACTATGACGACCGTTCGCTGAATGAACCGTGATACTTGTTCGAACAATAACAAACATTTATGTTCATATAATTTTTTACGAATAGTTTTTCTTTTCAATAAATTATCCATATCACAAACTGCGCGCCTTGTGCTTTCACGAAAAAAACCAATTTTGAGTTTGGGCGGTTGAGGGAAATGGGGTTAAAAAGGATTAGAATAAGGCGGCATGCTGCCCGGTTTTTTCCAGGATGGGGGTAAACGGGTTGAAATCCCCGTCAGGAGCCCCGTCCTGGGTGGGGGTATCGCCCCATTTACCCCCCGCCCTAAGTGGGGCTAAACGGGGATTGTGCTGGCAGGGCGAGATAGCTGGCGGCCCAGAAAAGGTTGGGCCGTCATTATAGAGTCTTAAGCGGAGGCCTGCGTAAGTGGGCCTTGGAACTGCCTTTTAGATTTACACAAATGTGACTGGTTGCGGACCAGACTGCCACTGTTATCTGGACAAGTACACATGGGAAGCTCAGCGTTGCAACGGGCGACACGATAGAGGACACAACAACGCGTTCCGATTGAATAAAGCTCATTATTTCAAAGTTATTGAAATAAAAAATTAGGATATTCAGTCATCCATGACATTTCAGAAAAATGTCACATTGTTAATTATTTTAGTTTGCTGTATTAGAAGAGGTAGGTGCAAAAGTAAGGAAAGTTGTTTTCTTACATTAGGGAAGTCGAGGCCCCTTTAACTAGGTATCCCGCAAGTGTGTACTACATTTCAGCCTTTTTTGCCTCATTTTAGTTTTCTAAATAAAGTTTTTTTAATTCAGAAAACGTTTTACATGTACAAGTAATATATATAATCGAGTGTATACGTACCAAAATGTTCACTGCGCAGTGAACCGTGGTTCCAGCTGTGAGTTTTCCGGTACAAATACGACTATCGCATAAAGCATTTTATTATAGTAGTGTAGTAATGTTGTGTGATTCACTATCCACAGTATGCTGATGCCTATGCTAGTGTCTACTGCTGAACCTTTCAAATTCCCTTTTGTACCCTGATAGCAAAAATCTAGATTCGTCTAGATTTCTGTAGATTCGTGTGGTGCCTTCGAGCTGCTGGCGACGGCAGCCTGAACATTCTAATCCCCCGTGCTCCCACTCCTTCATGTCATCCCCTCATGTCACGCTTGTCACACCTTCCTGTCACTGGGACTTTGTCAGCATTCCGCCCGCCTTATGTATAGCAGTAAAAATGAAGTTGATGAACACAAAAGTTAGGTTACTCTAGGCGGGATCGGCGTAAATGCAAGGGAGTTAAAAGAGTCGCTACATTTGCCACTTCTAGGGCAGTTTTATGGCAACCTGAATCAATTTCTGTCTTGCTCTTATAGTAATTATACTGACACCAGTTTTGGACAACCTTTCGACAAATTATAAGGCAAATCCTCGCCAATAAAGGTCAGTACGCAAGTCGCAGGCTCTTTTTTGTCAGGTGAACAATAGTTGTATTTATTGGTGTCGTGATTTAGGATGCGGGCAGCCCAGGTTATTAGCAAGGTAAATCAGTACTTCAATATATACTACTGCTATGTACTCGTTGACAGCACATGTAAATTAAGCGTTTATCCCGGAAAGGCTTATAGAGTTCGGCCCAAATATATACATTATATTTCGGTCCATCCCTATAGGCCTTAAATATACTGATCTATACCGAGAAAATTGAAGACCAAATAGTTTTTTTGTCGGCGTTCACAAACTCGCACAGCAGCCTATCTTCAGATATTATCGAGGTTCAACAAAAATTGATTGGTTTTGTACCCCGCCAATGAGAAAAGACAGGGGGGGATGGAGTACATTGTCTCCTTCACCGGTCCGCTATCACGCCGTCTGACTTCCAGCTGGGTGTGGCCATTATGTGCGTATAGAGCTGGAAATTGGGTCGCGCCACCTGAGCGCAGGAATGTAACGCGTAAAACAGGGGAAGGTCTTTGTAAACGTATTTTTTTATAGAACTGATATCAGAGCGACACAATTACCGTTCCAATTATCGTGTGCTTTTTAAAAATAAAGGTCTTGCTTCATTGTTTATCAGTAGCAAACAATGAAATGGCACCCATTGAATTTATAAAGTTTTTCCAACATTAAGACCCATATCTATCTCATTTTTATTCCACTATTCCAGAACATTTGACGGAGTGAAGTCTGCACCGTTTCTCTACAGTGACTCAGAAACAGCCTTATTTGTTCACACGAACCGCACCAGCTAAAGATGGTAATTATTTTGATTCTTTACAGTTTAATTCTTTTAGTCCATGGCATTAGCCTCCATTCCTGAAGACGTTAGTAAAAAAGTTCGATCGTTCAAGTTAAGTCAATCCAAGAAGAACTGCGCCATAATATGTACGCCTGGGCTAAATTTTAATGGCTTCTTTTAGGCAAAATCAACACACAATCTATGGCAGTTGAGGTGGAAAAGGAAATTAATGTAAGTTCTGTTTAAAACTTCCAACCTATATAACAGGATGTTTCAATCGACGATCTACCTGAAGAGCTCGCTCCAAGTGAACCCCGATATGTATTACTTAGCTACGTTCTGAGTCACGATGACTCTCGCGTCTCTAATCCCTACTGCCTCCTATTTGTCAGTCCAAGAAGTAAGTTTACTGTTTACTGTTTTTTTACGCAACGTTTTCCTTCTACTCTGAAAGTGTTCCTTTTAGGGGGCTGCTTTGGGCTTTTTAATGGCCTGAAACATGCAATAAACCTTGTTTATACAATGGCGGCATGTTGTTATGCCGTTTTGAGGTCTGAAATAAATATTTTAGGTAGGGTTTTAAACCTTATATATATATATATGTCTGATATGCCTAAAGATTTGGGGTCCAAATATGTTATCGCGTTCATCGTCTCCCAAATAAGAGAATAAGGGGGCGGTTTCGTGGCCAAATTATATTTGGACTGACGTTTCAAAAGCATGCTCGCTTCCATCGTCAGAATACCGTGCTTAC